TATTTATTTAAATATGTCAATAAAGCCAAAATCATCAACAAATTTTTATGATGTAGATATTTCTATAAAATTTAAATGTCAAATCATCTTCGAGAATTTTTTATGTGAATTTAAAATAAATGAAATAATTTTTCTTATTATTTATTTATTTATTTATAATCAAATTAATTAAATATTGTGAAAAATTCTTTTAACGTTCTCATTTTTTTAATCAATTTGATAAGCATGGCATGTGCACACACTGTGCACGCACTTCATATATATAATAAACAGAGCTTAAGGACCATGCCCCCTCAGGTCTCCCTTATCTTCTTTTGCCTATAAAGTTAGCATATCAAGCATATCAAGCTTCCTTAAACTCTGCTTAAAAACATGCTGCCAAAAAACCTCCTATATCTTGCAGGGCGGAACGAGTATCTCTTTTATAGGGAACAAACTGTCATCTTCGACCCAACGTGAGAAAGTGATAGTTTAGAAGAGGCAAAACTGATATTTCTGAAGAGACAAAAGACCAAATTGTCATCAAATATAAGTTAAAATCTGAATTTGAGGGTGGGCGGTTCAATTGCCCCCCTGAAACTCTACTTGGGCCTGCCCTTGATATCTTGGCTTAAAGATGGCAAGAAACATCTACTTAAACTAATGAGTGAGACATTTGATTTGCAATGGGGAGCATAAAACTACTCAAATCATTCATACAAATCACTAAAAAAGAAGTTTGAGAAAATATGTGAACAAGGAAAGTGGTAGGCGGGGTGCTTGGATTGCCTTATTTCTATCATCAAGTAGATCCACTCACTTGTTCAACATCAATGACGCACAAGCATAGCAGTTTTGCATGGATTAGCATGCTACTCTGGCGCCATAGCAATAAGGGCATTAAGATTTCTTAAACACCCTCTAATTAAACCAGTCCTAACTTGAGCTATGATTGCCATACCGTCTTGGATTTCATAAAGGTTCAAATGTTTCAGAAATGTATTTGGTTAATTGGCATATCATCCATGCAATGCAATGATCATTTTTTGGTTAAACATAATGTTTGGAGAGAACTGGCTTCAAGTCTTGACGATCGCTCAAATTCTCTTAAAATTGATTCATTAGAGAGCTTTAAATTAAAATTGAATATGCTTCTTTAATATATCATATGAAATGAAATACCAAATTTCATTCAAAATTAATGGAGAAATTAGTTTTATTCTTTTCACCTAAAAGTTTTTTTGCTTATATTGATGCTCTAGTCCATCCTCACTAATACACTAAAGGAAAAAAGCGCTATAACTACAACCACTTGCAAAACCGACGGATTAAATTTTCTTTGGTAAAAATATCCTATTTTTCGAAGGTTTTACGATGGCTTATGTAGTGGGTTTATTTCCGACGACATAGCAATAGGACATACCGTCGCTTATTAACAGTATATTAGTTTTCGACGGTTAAGTGTGGTCAAGATGAGAATGCTTAGGTGTATGAATGGCTTAACACTTAGAGATAAAATGTGAAATGAATATATCAATGAAAAGGTTAGTGTAGCCCTTGTGGTGGACAAAATTAGAGAGAGTTGTCTTTGATGGTTTGGTCACATTAAACGTCAACCATCTGATGATCCAGTTAGGAGAGTATATGTTTTAGATTCGATTTATATTAAGTAAGGCAGAGGTAAACCTAGAAAGACTTGGGCATATTGTATAAAATTTGATCTTAATTTATTAGAATTGAATGAAAATATGACACTCAATAGGACGCAATGGAGAAAAATGATTCATGTAGCCAACCCCACTTAGTGGGTTAAAGGCTTGTTGTTGGTGGTGGTGAAACCTGCAATGCTCTATGACACAGAATGTTGGCCTTTAAAAGAGAAGAATAAAAAGTGATGCCGAGATGAGAATGCTTAGGTAGAGGAGTGGCTTTTCACTTAGAGACAAAATGCAAAATGCTTATGTCTGTAATAGAATTGGTATAGCTCCTGTGGCAGACAGAACTAGTGAGAATCAACTTAGATGGTTTTTTCACATTGAACGTTGACCATCTCATGATCCAGTTAGGAGAGTAGATGTTTTAGATTCGATTTTTGTTAAGAAAGGCAGAGGTAGATTTAGAAAGACTTGGGCATATTGAATAATAAATAATCTTAATTTATAAGAATTTAATAAAAATATGACTCTCAATAGGATGCAATAGAGAAAAAGGATTCATGTCCCCACATGTTGGAATAAAGGTTCGCTGTTTTGTTGTTGTAGAGAAGTTGAAGCATGTGGGATTTAGTAAATCCTACTAAAGCCACCAAATGCTTTCTTTATATTTAATAGGATTTACTTATTAACATACCAAATAGTTTTCGGAATTTAACCGCTTCAAGATTTCATAAATCCGATTTTATAGGATTTACACAATCATATTAAACTAAATCCTAATTGCAACCAAACAGCCCCTAGAGAAAGAATTTAACTAGGGGTTCTTCGGTTCAGGATTTATGCGGGATTTCAGCTAAATCCCGCCAAACGACATAAAATGCCTCCATAAATTCTTCAGGTTCTTAAACTCCATTTTTGTTCCATTTTGCGTTAAATCGGAATTTACCAAAAAAAGGTAAGAAGCATGATTTATGGGATTTAGAGAGGTTAAAGTTTGTTGGATATATCTATTAAAACCAATTAATAATTTGAACTAGTAAATCTGGATTTACTAAACAGATAACAATAATCACTTGAAAATTAATTTTGGATCGAATTTTTTTTGAACCGACCTCTCATCGATCAAAATTGTTTTGTTTAACATCATATTGATGTTAAGTGTGTTGAAGATCATTAAATCGATTAAGACATCTCTTTCTAATATTATTTTTACTTTGTAATTTTATGTTTTCAATTCAAGTACTTCGTAGATGACATGTGAACAACATTTATGGCTGGGTGAAGATGTGTTTGTCGCACTGCTCAAAGCCCGGGACTCTGACGAGTTTTAGAGAAAAAAGAAGTAGGCAAAGCTGAATTGCTACTCTGACTGCGAGAGCATAGGGGCCTCAAAGCACTCCGGTGGAGCCCTACAACAGAAGTATAAGAGGAGGGTGGTAAAAAATTTCTTGCCATTAAATATTAAATGTATGCTAACTTTTTCATTAGACTGACATATACTGGAGAAAGGACGAGAACCAACTGCTACAAAGTTACATGAGAGCACTCACAAGCGGCATTCGAAGCAGTCCTGGGCGGACAGCAGATCGTCGGAGGCCCTGGTAATTGACAAAATTATTAAGTATAAAGTTCAAATAAATATTAAAATTTATTAAGTCTTTCACTTTCATTAATCATATTTTTTTTTGTAGGAGGTCTTACTGAGGCTCAAGAACAGACAATCTCAACAATCAGTCTACGGTTCGGGCACATCTCATGATTCTTCTGAGTACGACCTTTAGAGGGTGGCTATCGGTGAGAAGAAGAAGGGCAGGGTCTACGGGTTGGCATCCCAGGAGCCGACCTATGATGCCTACCTGGTCTCTATCACATATGGTGCATCCATTTCCACTTCGCAAGAGGAGGAGATGTGTCTCGAGGTTGCTGCTCAGGTCGCCTCCTTGAGATCGGAGATGAGTGCAGAGATCAAAGTGGAGCTGTGTTTGAAACTGCAGAAAGAGAAGGAGCAAGTGCAGGATGAGGGTGAGGATGATGATGATGAGAAGAGGACACAAAAGGACGAGGAGAATGAGTAGGGTTTTTTTTAGTTGTATATGGAACAATTTATTGCTAGAAAATATTAGTTTTATTGTGGAGTTGTATATTTTGTTTGCTTTAAATACAATTAATTTTCTTTTATTTATGTATATGATTTATGTGTATGTTAGTTTTGCTACTGTGTTATGTTGTGTTTTGAGTGATCTATTACGATTGCAGGTGCGTGGATTGTGACTTTGAAAGAGGACTTTATATTGTTTTATGATGGTACATGTTTTCGATGGCTTAGCGACGGTTTTATGACAGTTTATCAAATAAGCGATGGTTTTCTAACAGTTTATTGAACAAGCAACGTTTGGGCAAAGTGTTGTACTTTCACTATGGACAACGCTGTTAGTAGATTCTCATGGTTAACCAACGGTTTGGCGACTATTTACTAACAGAATCACGATACTTTTTCGACGGAACTGCAACCATTTTCCCACGGATGTTTTCGTTGGTTATACAACCGACAGTCAAGCTACGATTAAACATGAAATGTTTTTGAATCTATAGTGATCGTTACGGTACATCGGTTAACCGTCCGTTAATGTAAACTGTTATTAAATTTGTTGGTAATTTAATTAGTTATGCGCATTTTTTCTATGTCAACGTTGTGCAGTTAAACCGTCGATAAATATATTAGTTGTGATTTATCTGTTATTATCAACAGTTTATTTAACCATCGGTAATACACTGAATTCCTGTAGTAATGATGATAATTTTTTAACCCTTAGAAAATATTATTTTCTTGGACCAAGGTTAATGATTCAAAATAAGCCTAAATAAAAACAAATTAGCTCAATTATAGTCTTCTTTGTGGAATAAAAGTACAATTTTGTCCTCCCATATTTTATCTATGAATGTGTTGTAATTTTTTTTTTATTGAGCTACTTAGGCAAACTTTTGCCTTCTTATATTTATTTAACAAGTTAATTAGGTCATATATTGAAAACAAATTGGATTGAAACATACAATTCTATCTATCTCTAAATTCTCCTTAATTATTATTCTCTATTTTCTCCATCTTTTTTTATCTCTTCTTCTTCCTTTTTTTTCCGTCAAGTTTTGATCGTGGGATCTTTTGATAGAGGAAGAAATGCTCAATCATGAGTGCACCATCTTATTCCTTCTTTTTTCTTCTCTATGCACATAAACATTTAAATTTTCATACATCATATATATATATATATATATATATATATATATATA